AGGAGTGGAGCAATCATTTAATTTTTCGCGATTGATGGAGTTTTCTCGCGTCTCGAGTGATGAGAAACAGATAATCTATTACCATAAAGATTGCTATAACATTTACGAAATGTTTCATACAAGATATTTTTTACACAAGATTGTATATAAACATAATATTGGTATGTTATCACGATAAAATTTGCACAATGTCTTTATACTAGTCAATAAATGCAAATTAATTAATTTTAGGCAGAGCAATTGATCATATGATATGTGATGCACTTGAGGAAGCAAATCAGTATTACAAATTCAAAAATGCGATCCGTGATCCTGAAAAATATATGCGACTTAGTGATTCTATTTTTTATGAAATCGAATATTTGGACAAAATCAAAAATGCAATCCGGGACAAAATCAAAAACGCAATCCGTAATACTGAAAATTTGGAGCGACTCGACCCCGATTGTTCTATTAGTGATGTAGCAACCTACTTAATGAAATGCATATTTAATGACATCCGTAATCCTGAAAACTCTAAGCGACTCGACTCCAATAGTTCTATGGCTGATGTAATAGACCTTTTAATAGGCTTTCTAATACCGAGTAACAGTCAAGTACTAAATGACAGCCAAGAAACAAGTGACAGACAAATAATGGATGACAGCCAAGAAGTACCGAGTAACAGCCAAGTACTAGATGACAGCCAAGAAACAAGTGACAGACAAATAATGGATGACAGCCAAGAAGTACCGAGTAACAGCCAAGTACTAGATGACAGCCAAGAAACAAGTGACAGACAAATAATGGATGACAGCCAAGAAGTACTGAGTAACAGCCAAGTACTAGATGACAGTCAAATACTAGTTGACAACCAAGAAGCACCAAGTAACGACGATGTACTGAATAGATTCATATTTTTGTACTATTCATTAATACATCAATCAATTGACATTCCACTAATTATATTTCAATAAATGATTATGTCTAGAAATTGAAAAAATCGAGAGATATTTTGGATAGGATTAGGCGGAGGGATTTATACAAATTTGTAATCGAATATAAAATTCCACTTGATCAAGAATTGGAAACAAATAATGTATACATATTTTATTTTAGTACAAGACGTTCTTATGAAATCTTTTCACACGTATAATATTAATACTAATTTTCTGTTAAGATTGAGAAGGATAAAATTGAGAAGGATGAAACTGAGAAGACCATTCAAAAGTATCTTGAAAGGTATCGCAATGGCATCACTAATGAAAAAATTGCTGATAAGAATCCTGGTAGATTAAATAAAGATTACATAATAGTCGACTGGCTAACGCTCGATTATGGAAAAGGAAGAGATAATCCAGTAGATAACGTCACATTTTATGATAAAAATTATAAGGAAAAATCCTTTAAACGTTCAGAAGTTAGCGACCTTCTTCCAAAAGTATACTGTGAAGAAATAGTTCGCATATACACACGAAAAAATGACAAGGTAGCGTCAAATGACTTTTTTTTATTTACCATGAATATGTGCTAATAATTTATTAAATTTGGTAAAACAAAGCAAATGATTGAGCGAATTGAATATGCTTTTCGTGAAGTATTAAAAGAATTAAAATCAACCGAAATGATGGACACAGGAGAGTGAAATTATGATAGTCTATGTATCCTCAAATTTGAATTTGTGACTCAGGGTTAATCTATCCACTAAAAAACCTAGGATCATCAATCACATGAAATTAGATAATTGGTTATTTTCTAACACGTGATAATTGGCCAATCATATTTATTATAATCGATAACGATCTTTAAAATTCTATCTCGCGATCTAGTGATTAGAATTTAATAATTTTTATAACATTCGATTCGTCTCATTGAGATCCATTTTTTAAATTCAATTTTTTTTAAAAAAATTTCAATTATGCTGAGACGAATCAAATGTTATAAAAATTGTCAAATTCCAACCATGGTTTCATGAAATATCATAATAAATATTCTTTCAAATCGGTTTTATATTATACTTTAGAATGGCAATAGTTAAACTTCAGTAAAATATAACTTAATAAAAACGATAATTCACTATAATAATTTTTATAATTTAAAGTATATAAACGTGATTTAATTTAATATTTTACTCAGTTATTTATTTGAAGTCGTTTCGTGCTTTTTCTATGAAGTACCAGATCTTACTTACATGCTGTTCTTTATTTTAACGTTGAAATATCTTCATTTTCTCAAATTATGAATTAAACTACCTGCGGTCTCTTATAAAACTCGTCTTTAAGAAAACTTTCTAAAGATTTTGATTAATTTTAAAGGAATATATATTCGATTCGAAAGCTTTTTCCATAACTTCATTTTCTTAATAGATTTGATTGGCGAGGTTTCAAAAAATCGCGAGAAATAAAAAGTACTTTAAGGGTAGAGTGTATGTAGATCTGCATGGTAAATTTGGATTTTTATAAAAATTGAAGATGTTACTAATAAAATTTTTATAGTTTTATCCAATTTTTATTAAAATTTCATAGTATATAGATTAAAGTATGCTTTTTACAATGATATAAATTTTAATAGACATAATATTTAAAAAAAATACTTGTATATATCTTAAATTTGTCAGGATTATTGATATAGCAAATTAAAGAGCTTGTTTTTGTCATATTATCATATTTAAAAACACTTTTATAGTATATACATTGTATATAATTTTCTAGCAAATTATTATGTATATTATTCCTTAAATTGTAAGGGGCATGCTATTTATTATGTAATTTTTACCATAGATACATGGTTTAGATGAGTGATCACATTACACATATATATATAATATATAATATACTAGCTCTTAGACCCGGGCGATGCTCCGGGGCTAGGTCTAAATGTTTTTAATCTCAAATTCAATAGTTTTTTAAATTTCAAAATATGTACTTATTTATTTTAATAAATAATATAATATGTA